TTTGGCGCTTAAAGGGTTAAAAAAGTGACTTGTTTAATTATAGTCCCTTGCTTCACCTCTAAGACTCCACTGAGCCAGGCTCAAAGTTTAATTTAAATACACATTACAGCTACAAGACGTGGTCGACTCGGGCAGGATAGAGCCTTAAGCAAGCACCTGGTCTGCTTTTGAGGTGCAGACTTCTCAACAGTTTAGTAACTGATAGGGTGTTGTGATCCGTGACGTCCTCGCCATAAATGAGCCGCTACCACTGATCTTCTGGGGGTGTGTGTTTTACAAATGTCAGCTGGTTTGTGAACCCTGCATGTTTCGACTTTAACCATACGATGTCTTGTTTACCCCTACAGCCAAGGAGGAGGAGAAGAAAGAAGAGAAGAAGGAAGAGTCTGAGGAGTCTGATGATGACATGGGCTTCGGTCTCTTCGACTAAAAGTTGTTTTTTAAGAAAACACAATAAAACTACAAAAATGACTGCTGCTTTGTTCTTTCCTGTGATATAGATATGGCCTTTTATCATCTTTGTGTCTCCTCTCTCCTCTGTGATCTAAATCAAACTCAGTGCTCCACCTTAAAAGACATCTCAATTCCTAACGTGCGTCTGCATGTGAGGATTGACAGGTGTATCCTTTGTGGAAGTCTTAAATGTTTTTAGCACCCATGACTTTTAAAATAGAGGCGCATACAAACAGTGGTGGGAGCACTTGGTTATTTAAGATGATCAAAGTTTGTGCCCACAGTTTGTGTAGCTCCTGGTGAGGCACTAACTGCATCTCTTAATGACATTCCCCCTTGATACAGGTAGTTACTGTGGTAATGGCCATAAAACAAATAAGAGACACAAAAGTATATTAAAAGTGTTATGAGTGTTTAATTTGGCACTCATGTAATTCACCAACCAGCACTTATTTTAGTGAGAAATTATTTATAAAAAGGAAACGAATCGATGATGTATAAACTGGGAAATGAGAAGGGCAAAACATCACCTGTTGAAGAACAGGAACGTACTACACTAGATGGGATAAGATGTTCCTTCATTGATCCACTGTGGGAGGAATTTGAGTTGATCCAGCAGCACATGGGGAATGTAGTGTAATATACAAAGACTATAATGAAAATACTCTGCAGTAAGAAATATAGTGCCAAAATATTTTAAACAGTGTATAACTGACTACATGTTCAATGATTGCAATGTATTGTTTTCTGTATCAGACTGAACATTTAATACACAGTGCAGCATTTTATAACAAAGTCCTTGAATCTTAGTGTAAAGTGTAATTTCTGTTGGGGTGAATATGCAGTGGGACATAGTTGGTTTCTTATATTTTGTGAGTCATGAATGAAATCATAAATCAGGTTTTTTGCCAAGTAGCTTTTCTCATACAAGGAATTTGCCTCAATAATTGGTGCATAACAATTAAACAGACAAATATAAAGATAAAATTAGAGACAATTAAGAGAACCAATATATGTAAATATAAAAAGAGAATATGTACAATACTGTTGGATACTTATATAAATGAGTAAAGAGCTGTACAG